CCGTGAACAACAGAAGCTAACTCGGGCCGACTTCAGGTGAATTTATTTAAAAAAAACAAGGTAGCCCGTGTAATTAAGGAAGAGCTGAAGAGCGGGCCAGAAAGGACAGGAACGCAGACAGTCACAAAGACCTGAGCAACAGGAACGAACGGGTGCGGCCAGGGTGTCGGGGCTGTGATGCATCTGCTCCCACTTTCTTTCTTTCCCTCCCCATCTCATCACCCTCCCAGCTGATTGTTTTCAGCTGCAGGCAAGAGATCATGGCTAAGAATGGCTTAATAATAAAGGTATTTCAGGGACACCTGGGTAGCTCAGTCGGTTAAGCATCTGCCTTCGGCTCAGGTCATGATCCCGGAGTCCTGGGATCGAGTCCTGCATCAGGTTCCCTGCTCAGTGGGGAGCCTGCTTCTCCCTCTCCCTCTGTCTTGCTTCTCCCCCTCCCTCTGTCTTGCTTCTCCCCCTGCTCATTCTCTCTCTCTGACAAATAAGTAAAATCTTTTTTAAAAAAGGTATTTCAGGGGCGCCTGGGTGGCTCAGTTGTTAAGCGTCTGCCTTCAGCTCAGGTCATGATCCCAGGGTCCTGGGATAGAGCCCCGCATCGGGCTCCCTACTCCGCGGGAGGCCTGCTTCTCCCTCTCCCACTCCCCCTGCTTGTGTTTCCTCTCTCGCTGTCTCTCTCTCTGTCAAAAAATAAATAAAATCTTAAAAAAAAAAAGGTATTTCATTGTCTTACGGAACAAGTATTCTGGAGATGAGTGGTCTGGGGTTGATGTCATGGTCTACATCGCTGATTCTTTGGCTGTTCTATCACAAAATGGCTGCTGCCGCTAAAAATATATTCTCCCCCCAGTATTGCAAGCAGGAAAAAAGATGTGTAGCAGAAATAGGGATGTCCCTTTTTATTAAGGAGGCCTCCCATCACCCTTCCCTTTATAATTCTTTGGTTGGAACTGGGTCCCATGGCCACCCCTAGCCACAAGGAATGCTGGGAATGTCAGCTTCTGGCATAAGTGATCAGAAGAGCAGTGACTGGCTTACACCAGGGCTTCATCTCCTGGGGTTGGGCATATTGCTGCACAAAACAAAAATCAGGGCTCTGTTAGCCAGGAGGAAGGGGCAGGAGTTCTCATGATTCAGATCCCCTGGAAAGAGCCAATGTGCCTAGCTTGGGTCACCATGTCTGAGTCCCAATGCATGACTGAAAGGTACTATCTCAAGAAGGAGCAGGGTCCTGTGGCTGGAAGAAGGGAGAGGAAAGCTGGGTGCCAAAAGGACGTGTCTCTACCTCCCTGTCCTTTGGCTTTTCCAGATATCAGAGGGGATTCCAGCCTAGCAAGGACAGGCTCTATAATTTGTGGGACCCAGTACAAATAAAAATGCAGGAATACCTTATTCAGAAATTATTAAGAATTTCAAGATGGTGGCAGCAGAGCATGAAACAAATATGGGACTCTTCTGAACACATGTGGTAAGCCTCAGGTAGGGTCTGTTTTTGTATGCAATTGGATGAAATACATTCGTGGATGGTGGGAAAGGCTGTGATTTATACTGTTATAATTCACATATGTCCAGGTGTTTGTGCAAACTCTCAGTTAAAGAGCAAAGAAAGGGCTGATCACACCTCTTCTGTGTGTATACCCCTGGGCAGAGGCAGAATTCAGGGCAGACAGAGTTCTCAGGGAGCTTCCACTGTACCCCAGTCACAGCAGAGTAAGGGGGATGGCAAGTCAGCTTTACCCCTCATGCCCATTGAGACCTGGAGATGCCTGTCTATTATTTGATCATCACTGTGGCCATGTGCAGTGCAGTGTATCATCTGGGTCTTCTAGATGAGGTTGTTGGGGCTCAGAGAGGTTCATGGTCATCTGTGGTCCATGGTCAAGCTAGGATTGGAAGCTGGGCAGTCTGAATCCAGAGTCCATGTTCATCGGCACACTACATCATTGGACAAGTCTAATGGAGTTGGGTCATCATAAGCAGTTGGCTTGGTGAGACCAATAGGGTTTGGCCAGACATAAGGGGGCTGTTTTTGAGGGTCTTCAAGTCCTAGGGCCCATGGAGAGGTGTGCCACAAGGATGTCCTTCCAGCAACAGGAATGCAGGATGGATGACAGCGCCAAGGACGTCACTTGCAGATAAGAGGAGCCTGAACCAGGAAACAAACTTAGTTTTCCTCACCAAAGGGTCTGTCACACATGGTCAATTTCTGAAATGAATCCATAAGCCAGGAACATTTGTCTAAACACTTTAATTAAAATGCATTGTAATAGGATGAAAGCCAGCATCTAAGAACAGTGTTCATGTTTGCTAAGAAAACAGATGAAAATATTCCAGGTAGCCAAACACATTTTGATAATGAAATTTTACACAGCTTCTTGGTTTTAATCTTATTTAAAATATTTATATAGTTAAAAAAAATAGTTTGCTATTCATTTTCTACCACAGTACAGGAAACGTGGAGACATTTGAAATCGGTACAGATTCAAACACATAAAGATTCTGTTTCAGCTGCAAAATTACAGTATTCTGAGCTGTCCCATCCATACCTTGGTGACTAACCAGTCCAATTCTATTTGGAGAATAACGCTAGCCTCAAATTCAATTTATCTACAGTCCAACTTTCGCGAAAGCATCAAGTTTAATGAAATATCACAGTGAAATTAAGACACCGCTAATCTCATTTCAAAATCAATTTTCTTTCTGGGACAATTCTTGGGAGCCTCAAGAAGCTCTCGCTTCATATAATAAGCAGTATATATTCAAGGGTTGATATCTAAAAGAATGAGTGTGTTCATATAAAAAAAAAGATTCCTTATAAAATAGGATCTCACAGTAAAGGTGCCTTTGAAATATTTTGCCATCTACTGCAGGGTAATACATGAACTTTATTGATATATCTGAAATCCTTGGCTAAAGTTGGAAGCATTCTCTATGCTTGGATCTTAGAATACGTAGTGCAAATATGAGTATGCTAAATGGAGATGGTGAAGACAAAAATTAGCCCAAACTTCCAGACTTCCCCTATTTAAAAACAGTGCTTACTGTATGAAATTATGTATAAGATTTTTGTGTATTGCAGCATTATTATTATTTTTTTTTTAACAGCATGAGACTGGAAACATTGCAAATGCCTGTCCGTGGAGAGCAATTCAACATTATGGTCTTTGCATACAATGGACCAGATTGCAGGCATGAAAAATCAGCACGCCCTTGATGTACTAAGGGAGGATCTTCAAATTAAATCAAATGCAAAAGAACAGCAGCTCTAGTATGTTACTATTTGTGTAAAGAAAAAAAAAAGAAGAAAAAAGGAAGGGTACAAGGAACTGATGTAGTGGTTTGCTTCCAGGAAGGGGACCACGGACGTTGGGCACCGGGGGTAGGAGAGATCATTTTAACTGGGTAGCCTTTTGTACCCATGAAAATATGTTATTAGCTTTTAAAGTAAATTAATAAAAGCTTTTTAAACGGCTATAATCATGCCGCTCATCATTATATTCAATGTGGTGATTACTCAGATCATGTGGCATGTCATCAACTAGATAAATCTATTACCCTGGGATTTGGAAATGTTTAGAGCAGCCTGGCAACTCCCATATTGTGTCATTTTTTCACAGGGGAAATGAATGTTCTGCTTTTAGTCTGATGGACAAATACACAACATTTACAAGCCCTCAAAGGCCCCTGGTGCAGTGGCGCAAGGTCCTGTGATTTTATATAAAGTGGGCAGTATCTATTGGAATTCCGGGCCTTTTGTGTTCATTGTTGCTGGTGGAAACAAATAGTCCAACACTAGTTTTTGTTGTTAATCACCCACTGCCCCAAGAGCCAATAGGTATGCAAATAAAATCCTCCCAATATTCAGTGACTGAATGACTCCTCCCCACCCCACCCCCCTTTTATCTTGAATCATTACAGCAACATGACTTGATCTGGAGAACCTTCAGGACTGTCAGTGGTGTCAGCGGTGATTTCTGTCTCCTAGGAGTAATGGAAGTTGCTACCATCATCTCTATAGCAAGGGTGTCAAAAGCAAGCAAGCATCAAGCCCTGCAGACCAGACCTGAGGGACCCGTAGGGGTGCCCAGAATCGCTCACAGTTACGGTGGCCAGTAAGCCCACTTCCATACTGGCATCCGACTCGGAACAGCCTGGGGAAGATCCTTGCTAACCACCCCAACCAGCACAAGATCCCTAATGTGACTGCCCGGCATGGATCATCAGGTCAGGTGAGCCGTAATTCCCATTTAGTCAAATGAACAGCACAACTGTCCTTTTGGCTGACAAGGTTTTTTAAAAAAGTAATCTCGGGGCGCCTGGGTGGCTCAGTCGTTAAGCGTCTGCCTTCCGCTTAGGTCATGATCCCAGGGTCCTGGGATCGAGCCCCGCATCGGGCTCCCTACTCTGTGGGAAGCCTGCTTCTCCCTCTCCCACTCCCCCTGCTTGTGTTCCCTCTCTCGCTGTGTCTCTCTCTGTCAAATAAATAAATAAAAAATCTTAAAAAAAAAAAAAAGTAATCTCTACACCGAACGTGGGGCTTGCACTCAGGACCGTGCAATCAAGAGTCGTATTCCCCGTCGGACTGAGCCAGCCAGGTGCCCCATCTGCTAGCAAGTTTTCTATCCTTGAAATGTGGGAGATGAAATTCAAACATCCAGTAATAACCCCTTAGCCGCCAACAGAGCTTCCCAGGTGTTGGAGCCCCGTTCTCTGCTCTGCCTATAAACTTTTAAAACAGAAAAGAATTTTGTTCTTAAAAATCATAGTTGGGAGAGGTAGGGTTCTCAGATGACGGTGGGAACTTAGGGACAGGAACACTACATTTGTCGACTTCAAGACCAGCCCCGGCAGAAGCCGATGTCGGGGGGCAGGAATGACAGACTCTCTGTGCCCGGGGAGTCTGGGCCTGCGCAAGCCGGCGCGGGGCTGGGGACCGGCCTGGGGCGCGGGGAGGACGCGCCTGCACCCGCCCTGCCGGGAGTGGCGCGCTGGGGGCCTCCTCACTCGGCCTCCTTCTTCTCCTTCGGGATCTCCACCGACAGGATCTGCTCACCGGGATCCAGGCCCGGGCTCATGCAGATCCGCATCGAGGGCTCCTCGGGCCTGGCCTCCCCCTCCCCGCCTTCCTCGGGCTTCCCAGGGGAGGCAGGTGGCGGAGAGCGCGGGGCCGGGGGCTCAGGCGATGGGGGCTGCTCCGGGGCGGCCGGGCCCGCCTCTCCCGCAGCGTCTTGCGAGCTCTTGGCCTGAAATCCGGAAAGGGTGATTGGTGAGGCAAAGAACGTCTGAGAGATCTTGGAGGGGTCTTGAACACCTTCCCATTCCCTTTCTCGGACCCCCAAGGAGGAGGATGGCAGAGGGCCCAGGGGTGCAATCTAACGGATGGGAAGTGGGGGATCAGAGCGGCATCAGGATTATTCGGTAGAAACAGAATATATTATGGGGAAGTTTAGGGATTAAAAGTTTAGGGTTGGATTTGGTGGATATTTTCGGTCTCCGTTGATTGGCGGGGCTAGAAACCAAGTGAAGTTGCAGGTTCAAGCCTGCCCCTGAGCTATGGAGAGAGGAGCGGCTGTGACCAGGAGGGGGCGCCAGCGAGGACTTTGCAAAGCTGCGCCAGCTGCCGGGTCCACCCGGGCTGCCCCGTCCACCCTGGATACCAGGGCTGGATGCTCCTGGGTGAATAGAAACATTCTAAGCAAACAAGACAAAGGCTGAGATGGCAGAAGCAGCCTGGCGCCCTTTCTGGAAGGTCTCAAAGGTGGAGACCGCCACGCCCACCCCCATGCCCCAGGAGAATGGGCAGGGTACCACTGGCATTTGGCTGGGCTGAGCCCCCATGCTTATGGACTTGGTGGGGACTTCCAGCCTGCAGGCTTCTGGGTTCCTGTGGACACTGGCTGTAGTCTGTGTATCAGTAAAAACCCAAGCCTTCGTGGATACCCGTGGCCTGTCCTGCCCTGTCTGACCCACCTCTGCCTGGACATAAATGGGAGGGAGTGGCCCCCAGAGGAGGAGATCTGAATGGTCCATAACTATCCGAGACCCACTTGAGATAGTGGTAGTGAATTTAAAATGAGAGCGGTCAGCATGCTTCTGAGGAACAAAGACCCCCTGAAGTCTGCTCAAATCATAGGGTGTTGAAGGAAGGGAAGTGGGGTGGGGAACCCCACTCATAGAACCCAGGGCAACTCTGGGGACCTGTCCCTCCCTCTGTTTCTGTGTTCCTGCATGTTCTGGCGCACCTGTTCTGCCTTTCCCTGTCTGTCCTAAACTCTGACAACACACTTCCAGGGCAGGTGCCCATTATGGGACTTCCAGAAGCATCCTGCTATGAACAGAACCAGAAGAATCATGGGGAGGTTGGTCAGGGGCTTTGCCAAGTTCAAAAGGCTTTTAAAAAGATATCCAAGGTATCCTGTTTCATCTCTACAACCCCATGGGGCAACCATGAGTAATCTGGGTCTCAGAAAGCATGAGGAGCTTCCCCAGGTCACAGAGCTGGCCGTGACAGAGCTGGGATTTAGACCCGTGTCTTTGGATTGTTATTTCAGAGCTCCTTGCACTCTGCCATTCTGCCCTGATTGTTCTGAAATTGCTTTTTATTAGAACTCTCATGCAGATTTAATTCACCTCTCCAAGCTGCCTGGGTGGAGAGCTAATACTCAGGAGAAATAAGCCCCATTTCAGATAAAGCCTTTCACCGTCCTGAGAACAGTCTTGGAATTCATGTATGCTTATTCCCATGTAGCAGCCGGCACTAAAGACCCCAGCTTGCTGGCTCGACCTTGACCCTGGCACTTGCGAGCTCTTGGCCTCAAGTGAGCCGGGCAACCCTGTCTGTCCTCTGTCTCGGGCCACGGGTGGCTGTATCTTGAGAATATCTTGGAACCCTGGGTAGCTTTGATGTCACCTCCCAGACTCCAGATGTCAAACGATCAGATGGGTCCCCTGGACTCTGACACCAGCCTGGATTGAGACTGAGTTCCCTGGGCTCCTTTGAATTCTGTCGTGTAGTCTCAGCACCCTCCCTGCCACTGAGCTCCTGCCTACCCACCGCCCCCCTTCCTAGCAGCCTCCCTGAAGGACAGTCATGAATAGTCATAATTAGTGCAATCATTCTAATTGGCATTTTTGGCATTAGTCACAGAAAAGAGTCCCAGAACTAATTTTAAAATTCCCTTCAGGTTTCCGAGGGCGGGGACAGTCGGCACTGTGCCGGCCGGCAGGGTTTCTTCTCTTCAAATCTCCTAAATTGTCACAGACACAAAGATTAAATATGAGAACATCACGGCCATCTGGGGAGAGACCTTCCCTGCCCATGCCCACTGCTCCCACCTCTGCAACAGCACGGACTCCCCTCGGGGGACTGGCCCCCCTCAGCCCAGGGACGGGCATGGGAGCCTGGCGTCTCCCAGGGCTCCACAGCGAATGGCTCCGGAAGTGACGTGAGATCCGATTCTGTCCAATGACGGTGAGCCCTGGGACTTTTGCTGGAATCACGGGGCAAGAGGGGCTTCCGGTGGGAGTGGCTAACCCAGGAGGCGGCAGTCCTAGTGCTCTTGCGATCTGAAGCCATCCTCGAGGGAAGCGGACATGGCAGGATGGCAAAACGAGTCCCACTGGCAATATCTGAGCTTTTGGATCCAGCCTTGCCTGGACTTTGCAGCTACTTGGCCCAATCGATTCCCTGTTCCCTTAAGCTAACTTGAGCTGGCACGGAGACCTGCATTTGTCACTTGCCACCAAAGGCGTCCCGACCGGTAGGAAGGAGGGGGAGACATTCCCTGCAATGAAAGGTGGACAGTCCGGGCTCTGGCATGAAGTTGAAATGGCGGGGGCGCCGGTTCCCCACCGCGTTACCTGTTCCAGCAATTGTTGCTCCCTCGCAGCTGCCTCCAGCACAGCGAGCTCCTTGACCCGGGCCCTCAGGTGGGCAAGCTTGCCGGCTTTGGTCCCCTTGCCGCCCACCTTTCCTGCTACGGCCAGGGCGGCATTGAAGAGCTTGGGCGTGCCTGTCCGGGGAGGCAGGATGAGCACGCTCTTCGGCTCCCTGGGCTTGTTGTTATTTCTCAGCATTTGCCTGAAAGAAAGCAGTGCCCGCGCACGTCACAAGCATGCTCTGGGAGAGAAGAGAGGCCTGTCTGTGGAGGACCCTCTGCCGGAGCTGCTGCAGGGGGTGGTCGTTCTGGCTAACAGGCTGTGAGCAAGCACAGCGTTGGGTGCTTTATGCACAGCATCTCAGTGACGGATCGGAACAACCCCAATGACATGGGTCTTACTGTCTGGACCCTTATAGAGGAGGGAACGGAGGCTCAGAGGGGTTGAGTCACTTCTGTGAGGTCACACAGGAAATACTGAATGATACTATAACAGATGGACTCAGAAACGGGATGCCCAGATGAAAAAAGACCCAAAGCTTTTCTTCTCTTCCTTTTGCTTTCTTGTCATGTCACTATCCTCACCATCACCTCTGTCAACACTTAATGAGTGTCTATACGTGTCAGGCCCTGGGCTCGGTCCTTTACAGGCAGTCTGGTGGCCCCTGGGGGTCCCTCTTCCTAGTGTCTGTGCCTCCGTGTGATCCTCTCCCCTCGGGGGTGAGGGGGACGTGTGACTTGCTTTCGACCAGTAGAATACAGCAAGGGTGATGAGCTATCCCCTTTGTGAACATGTCACATGGGACTGTGATCTCTGTCTTGCAAGGAGACTCTCCCTTCCTGGCTTTGATGCAGCCAGGGGCCATGTTGGGGGAGGCCCACGTCGCAAGAACCAAGGGCAGCCACCAGTCAACAATTAGTTGGGAATGGAGGCCCCCAGTCCTACAACCATAGGGAACTGAATTCGGGTGACCACCATGTGACCTTGGAAGCAGGTCCTTCCCCAGGGGAGACTTGAGATGAGACTCAGCTCTGGCCAGCACCTTGATGATGGCTTTGGAGCAGACCCACCTAAGCCATCCCAGACTTCTCACCCATAGAAGCTACCTAACATGTACTAATATTATTATGCAACAGACAACAGATACACACTTTGTCATTTAAATCCCACAGAATCCTTACAGGGAGGCCCCTATTTTTCTCCCTCATTTCAAATAAAGATATGGAAGACCAGAAGGGGTAAGTAATTTTCCCAAGGTTACACAGTTAGGAAGTGGTGGGTGCAGAATTAAAACTCAGATCTAAAGGCAGTACGCCATGCTGCTCTGTAAATAAAGCTAGAATCTTCCATCAAACAGAGCCCCAGCCTTTGATAGTGAATTGTTCATGCTACAGATATGTGATGCGTGGTTTGGCTCAAGAACAAATGAATTTCGTCTGCAGTCTGGTGGGCCTAGACTCCTAATTGGCAAATTCATTCATCAGGGCTCCAATAAAACTTGTTTGTTTAAAAATGAGGACATTATTGGCTGCTTATCTAATCAGAGGCAATGGATTTAAATTGTGCATATTGATATTAATTGGCCAAGACTTGCATTTTTTGGCTGGGGCTCCCCCAGGAGAGCACAAACATGATAATTCATCAGAGGCCTCTTCATGCCTGGCACCATCACCTGTGTTATTCAGTCCGTAATTCACAGCATGACAGTCTGTGGGAAGGCTCAGCGTGGTATGAAAATGACACAAAAGAACCCTCTGTGGGACCTTGGCTGATGGCTAATGGCCATCCCTCTTCTGAAACATTGTGCTGGCTTCTGGGACATTTCCAGATTCAGGAAATGCAGCCTCACTTTCAGATGACGTGGTTTCCTATAAGCAGGATCGCACGTTCATCCCTGAAGAGAATGGCATGCGTGGAACCTTCTTGCCCCATTTCTTGGAGTGGCCAAGACAGAGAGCTGAGCCCTTCACGTCTCTGGGGCCCCAGGTCCCCCATCTGTAAAGTGAGGAGTTGAGACAGAATCCCGCACGTGGCTTTCACCAGCTCAGACGTCCCCAGGCCCTGTGGTTCTCAGACCACGTCTTCCCTCTGATGGGCAGAGCTCCCGCATATTCCCTTGCCTCTGTCCTGAAGCTTGCTTGTCCAGGGAACCTGGCTCTCTGATGAATCATGCTAGAGCGCTGGCCTCAGGGCCTCTGTGCTGCAGGACCCGGGGGCTCCTCCTCTTTCCTCACGTTCTCCAGCGCCTGGCTGCCAGCTCGCCTAGCATGGTCAGCAGCCTCCGCGGGATCCTAGCTGATTTGCCAACCCGTCACCTCACCTAGCCAAAGGAGTGGCTGGTGGCTACAAGCGTGGCTTTCTTGGGCCTCGCTCCTCATGCAGGGGGAGGAAGGGAGGGCAGGGAAAACTGGCCCGTGCTCTCAGACAGAAACAGTCAATTCTCAGTATTCGTGGTAGTGTCGTTCTCTAGAGTCCCTGCAAATACTGAATTAGTGAGTACCGAAACCATTGCTTCTGGCGGAAATAGAGAGTTAGGTTTCTGGTGAGCCTCTCACTGACAACATTTCAGCTACTGATCAATACTTGTGTGTGTTTCTGTTTAAAGACATCTGATTTAATATACAGTTGATTCATTGACATGGAACTCAGGACCCACAGCTCTATGAGTCATGCCTGAGCAAAGCTTATCTAAGCCATGTCTTCTCTGTAAGGGACATTCCAGCCTCCTGGCCCTCGGGAACATACACAGCACCTCAGCACCACACTTCGGGGCCATTTTAAATAGGGAAATCGCCAGTGACAATCACAGAAATGTGAAAAATGCGGTACTAAATAGACCACGAACAGATTCTTGTTGACAAGTGTTCAGATGCTTCTGAGCTGAAACAATAAAGTGGAGCATCACCTTGGTCAACTTCTGCTGGGAACGTGCACTTAGGGCAACTCAAACTTCCCACTGCTGTCTCTGTGCACGTCCGCGAGTTACTGGGGATGCCCAGGAGTGCTGATTTTGGGGTTCCAAATACATTTTAGTGAGTAGGTGAATTGCAGATACAGAATTGCAACTATGTGAATCATGAGGATTGACAATACTTCCCTGCTCCTCGGGAGAGTCAGGGGAAGTGGGCAGAGTTTGTGGGAGAAGTTCAGAACAGACCAGTCTTTGGAAGGGCGCAGTAGCTTCCTTAAGAGCAAACAGGTAAATTGAGTTATGGGGCAGCTTCCTTCCTCAGGGGACCCCAGCATCCTGTGTGTATTATGCTCTAACCTCAACACAGCATCCACTCATCTGGGGTTGCCAAAGGGATCCTGTGAAAATCTAAGTCACCTCAAGTCACCAGTCTGTGTAAAACCCTACATAGCTTCAATCTCCCTCAGAGCAAAACCCAAAGTCACTGCAAGGCTTTACCTACAAGGCCCTGCCCACTCTTATCCCCTTGACTTCTCCCATCCCAAATCAAGCTACACTTATTTTCTGGCTGGTCTGCACACACACACTGAGCCTACTCCCCCACAGAGCCTTTCCACCTGCTGTCCCCTCTGGCTGGAATGCTCTTCCCTGCAAGCAGTCCCACTCACTCTTCATTCTGTGCAGGTCTCAGCTGAAATGCCACGTCCTAAGAATGGCTTTTCCTGACCAACCTCTCTCAAAGAACTCCCTCCATCACCTCCGTCTCCTCAATGTGGCTTTTTGTTTCCTTGTAGTCCTGTCCCCAGCTGACACATCACAGAATCATTCATCTCTCCACGGTCGGCCTCCCCTATTAGAATGCCAGCTTTATTTGGTCCCTGCTGTGTCCCTGGGGCCTAGAACTATGTACTCAATAAATGATTGTGCGCGATGAGTGGATGTTGTAAGTTTGTGCCCTTTATCATGACCTCTCTCTGTGCAGTTTATTTATGGTGTCATTTCATAGAATGAGATAGAAGATAGGAATATGGGGTAAAAGGCATGGAGGAAAATCCAGATATGTAGATTTAAAAGGCTTCATCCAGTGGGAAAATTACAGAGAGGATTTAACGGATAAAGAGGAACAATTATGATTGTGAATATTCATTGAGCTCTCCCACCTGCCGGTACCCTGCTGGAGACATTCGCACACACGCTATTTTATTTAATTTTTCCAACAACAAAGTAAGGGGTTAACATACCCTTATTTTACAGAATTGCAGAAAACTGAGACAAGAGAAGTTAAGTAACTTTTCCAAAGCCACACAGCCAGTATCTCACACAGATAGGGTGTGAGCCCCATCAGCTTCCCGAGCCTGTTGTGCATTTTCTATCACAACCATGCTGCCTCTGTCACTCAGCTTGAAACCTGATCCTAAGGGTCAGAAAGCAAAAGCCTGCTTCTCTAAAAAGTTACCCACTCTTCAACAGTACAAAATACAGATGCACAAGGTTATTCGCTGTGGCACTGTTTATAATTGCAAAATATTAGAAATCTAACTGCCCATTCACAGGAACACTCTGCAACTGTCAGAGGAATGAGGAAACTGATGGGTCTATGGACTGAGAGAGAATGTTTTCCAGGATTGGTTGTCATGTGAAAAAAAGCAAAGTGCAAAAGAAAATCTACAGTATGCTACGTTTTGTGTAAGACAGGGAAAATAAAATATTCACCAATCTGCCTATTTTTGCAAAAGGAAACACATTAAGGAAGCAGCAGAAACTAATGAGACTGGGCTCTTGTAGAGTCGGGGGTAGCAAGTGGGGGAAGCTGGGACACTTCTCCGGGCACACCATTCTGTTGCATTATGACTTTTGGTACCATGTTAATGCATGACATATTCAAAACAACAAAAAATCAACAAGGATTGAGGCAGGAGGAATCATTAAAAAAATGGAGCGCAAACCAAAACACATGAGCCTGGGTACATTTCAAATGAACAACCAACCACACTCAAGGGAGGCAAAAGAAAACGAATCCAATTAACTCTGAACACACACTTACCTCATAGGTACTTAGGCTAAAGACAAAAAGAACAGCACCAAATATTAAATTCTGCTGAGAAGGCTTCCCCACCACCCCAGTGCTTTGGGATAGCAATTCTGAAATTGCTTTGTCTGTATTGTAGGACTGAATAAATGAGTGAATGCAAATGAGGGCAAAGAGATCCAAATCTCTCAGTGTTGGAGAAGGAATTTACAAAATAGGGAAAGGAGAAGATTTGAAAGAACTCTGTGGTATTAGACTGAAATTGTTAGATAGATACAGATGGAAAAAATAGATGTTGAGATATATATACTTATATGAGTGTATATATGTATATTTGCATTTGTATATATAGAGGGGCATGCAGGTGTGTTTCCCAGCTCTGTCCACTTGGGAGCCTAATAGCACCCTAGTAGCCATGAGCACACATAGTGCTCAGATGTTGGTTTCTAAAAACCATTCCCCCCTGCAAGGAATCGGGCTCCTTGGAGAAACGGCCATTCCCAGGGATGTGGCAGGATAGTCACAAGATGAGCCCGGAGCATCTTATTGTGCTTGTAAGCAAGGAAGTGCTAAAATGGTCTGGGGACATAACAAAGAGCCACAGGGCCAGCCTAAAGAGGTCCCTGCTGGCTAAATCTGGAACAATTTGAGCATCAAAATAATGATTATAACATTATTATGGAACAAAACAAATCCATATTGATATAGATAAATGAATAAACAAATACATGGGAGAGAAGAGAAAGCTCGTCCTCACAGTAGAATGCTCCTAATAAATGTAGAAGGCATGATGAACTCAGAAAAATCACCATTTTGCAACCATGATGGCAATCACTGATTTAGCAAGGAGCCCTCAGTGGATGCTGAACATAGCAAGTGAAGGTTTGATGGGAAACAGGAGGTCTAGATAGCCTCAGACTGACTCCCTGCTTATTACTTATTAATTACAAGGAGAAAAATGTTAATTTCAGCATGCAAAAACCTAAACCAAGTGACCAAAGGGAAAATCATCAATCCTAGGAGAAGCCAGCATCCCGTGCCTCTCGGTACGCTGTACTAAGAAGAACACAACATCACTTTTTTTTTAAAAGTAGGCTCCATGCCCAACGTGGGGCTTGAACTCACAACCCTGAGATAACGAGTTGCATGCCCTACCAACAGAGCCAGCCAGGCGCCCCCCCAACATCACTTCTGAGAAATTCCTGCCCCCATGCAGAACCTGAAGGTAATCATGAGAAAACATCAGAACATCAGCTAACCCTAAGTGAAGGGACATTCTACAAAAAAACTGGCCAGTCCTCTTCAAAGAAATCCAAGTCACTGAAGATAGAAAAAGGCTGAGGCGCCATCCCAGATCCAAGGCGACTGAAGATACGAGGCTATGTAATGAAACAGGGGGTCCGACACTGGATCCAGGAGTGGAAAAGAAGACAGGAAAGGCTATAAAAGGCATGATTGGGACAACTGGCCAAATTTGAAGATGGACTGGGAATAATAGCATCATTTCAATACTGAATTTCCTGATTATGATAAAGGTACTATGGTAGATAAGATAAAGGTTTAGTCCTTAAGAAATGTGCACTGACATACATGTGGATTTTTTTTTTTTTAAATAAAAAAATGTACCTGGCCTTCTTCCGGAGTAACTTCTGAGACTCGGGATAATGCACCAAAATTTCACTGAGGTCCTTCTTGTCCAGAATGAAGAGGTTGGTAAACCCGTGGGCGACCACATTGGCCGTGCGCCGATTCCCGCCCCCAACAGCCAGCAAGCTGGGGCAGGGAAGGGAGGAGGTGAGAGCTGGCAGGCTGGGGTTGGGATCCCACTAAAATGTCCCTTTCCACCCCTTGCCCAGAGCACAGTGGCAGCCCCACACGGGCGAGAGCCGGGGCCCACCCTGCATATGTCAGCATCCACAGCGGCTTACTCAGACCCACCAAAGGGCCCTTGAGGATGAGGTTGTCCCCTCCCCCACTGGCCACCTCCCCCCCAGCTTGGGCCCAGGTCCGCTCATTTCACCCCAGCTCCCCCCTGACCTTATTTCTCCAAACACAGATCCAGGCTTCAGCGTCACCAGCACAGCCTTCCCGTCGGGGCCACCCAAGACCTGCACCTGTCCCGCCTGGATGATGTACATCTCTCGGCCTATCTCCCCCTGAAACAGAGAGGGTGTGAGCCCCCTGCCATCGCCAAAAGTGACCACAAAGGTGGCAGGGCTGGGCCCGGAGGCTGCTGGCGCAGCTCAGAGGAACCTGGGCTGGTCTCCAGCCCGACCACTGACACGGTGTGTGGTGTGGAGCCGTCACTTCCCCTCTGGGGCCTCAGTCTCCCCATCTGTGGATTGGGGAGAGTGGCCACCCCTGGCCTGCCTAACTGACAGGATTCTGTGGGGAGTTAGTGGTGTGATGGGGAAGAAAGTACTAGGTAAGCTAGAAGGCACAGTTGTAATGGCATTCTGGAAATTCCCAATTATACACGCCAATGGAGGGCCGGGGTCATGGAAAAAATTAACAATGGTTCATACGATAAATTGATACCTGTGCCTAGCACATGTCACTTCAGGAGCTCGGTAAGCGTTTGCTAGCTGAAACAGGAGTGGTGACAACGTCGATAATGAAGTCCAGCTGTTGTGCGACATTTTTCTGTGCGAGGCATTACTCTAAGTGCTGGGCCTGCTTAATCCTCCACAGCTCTGGGGTAGGAACTCTTGGCCCGAGGTCGCAAAGCTAGGCCATGGGAGAGCAGGGATTTGAGCCCAGACAGTCTGGTTCCAGACCTCATGGTTGCTGTGGGTTGAATGCTGTCCCTCCCAAACCCATATGTTGAAGTCCTCACCCCCAGGTGCTCAGAATGTGACCTTCTTTGGAAATAGGGTCACTGTAGATGTCATTCGTTAAATTAAGATGAGGTTGTACTGGAGTTGGGTGAGCCCCTAATGCAATATGACTGGTGTCCCTATTAAAGGGACATTTGGACACAGAGACGGGCATACCGAGAAGACGAGATGAAGTGACACAGGGATAGGATAGCCATCCATACGCCCAGGAGAGAGGAGCACATCCTTCCCTCACAGCCCCGAGAAGGAACCAACCCTACCAACACCTTGATCTTGGACTTCCAGCCTCCAGAACTGAGAGACAATGCATTTCTGGTGCTTAAGCCGCCCAGTCTCTGGTCCTTTGTCAGAGCAGCTGCAGTAGACTAATGCAATGGTCTTAATCCCAAGTTAAAGCAAACGAATGAATGAATGCATGCATGCATGCATGTATGAATGGCTTGCTTTGGACTGCAATCAGAAATACCCAATCTGGGGCGCCTGGGTGGCTCAGTCGGTTAAGCGTCTGCCTTCGGCTCAGGTCATGATCCCAGGGTCCTGGGACTGAGCCCCGCATCTCACTCCTGCTCAGCGCAGAGTCTGCTTCTCCCTCTCCCTCTGCCCCTTGCTCATGCCCTCTCTCTCACTCTTTCTTTTAAAAATAAATAAAATAAATAAAAAATTTTAAATAAATAAATAAAATCTTTTAAAAAAGAAAAAGAGAAAGAAAAAAAAATACCCAGTCTGCCATGCACCTTCCAATCCTTGTGCCCTCACAAGCCCCCGGCTCCCTGTCCATCACATCTGGCATGTTTATGTTGGTTTTTTTTTTAAGATTTTATTTATCTATTTGACACAGACTGAGAGATAGTGAGAGAGAGAGAGCACAAGCAGGGGGAGTGGCAGGCAGAGGGAGAGGGAGAAGCAGGCTCCCCGCTAAGCAAAGAGCCCCGAGCAAGGAGCCCGATGCAGGGACTGAATCCCAGGACCCTGGGATCATGACCTGAGCTGAAGGCAGCTGCTTAACCAACTGAGCCACCCAGATGCCCCATATCTGGCATGTTTAAAAGGAGAAAGAGCAAGGATAGGTAAATTGATGACACTGGATTCATTTGACAAACGTTTCCTGGGCACCTCACACAGGCATGAGCTTCTTAACAAACAGGAAGAAAGTTCCATGCCCCTGTTTCTGTGTCCAATTTGACATGGGGCTGAAGGGTCTAGAGAGCTCACCCTTGCCTCACTAAGCCCCCTTGGGGTGGGCGGCGGGGGGCGTCCCAAGGGTGTCTCAGCAAGATCATCGCTGAGCAAAACTGGACAGCAGAGGGCGCCATTCTCAGTTGCTCATCAAGTGCTCACTTCAACATCCCCCTGCCAACTCCCACCACCTGGTCCAGTCTTCCTCATTTGCCAGCAAGTTCTACGTACCCCCAGGGATAGTAACAGCAACAATGGCACCTGACTCTGTAGGCACAGCTGATTCAGTTTTCACAACCACCCCATGAGGAAGTACCAGCAACATCCCGACTTTACCCATGAGAAGAGACTCAGAGAGGGCAAGCCACTGCCCCAAGGCTGCACAGCGAGGAAAAAGCCCCAGTGTCAGACAAATCGTTCTATTGCTCCTAAACCCCTCTTGGCCTCTAGGACTGCAGCTTTAAGTTTTCAAGCATCTGTAGCCTTGTTTCCCCACTTCTCTGGGCTCTCTGCTTCCAGAAACTTCACTGCTATATAGCATACAACTTGGAGATGGGGGCCTTCTTGGGCTGAACTTTCCTGAGTCTCACAGGGGTTGCTTGGGCATTATTTTCACCCCTATACACACACCCAGCCTCAACAGCTCAGTAACAAGGGGACTGAAATCTGAGTTCTTGACGTTCCGCCCAAACCACTCACTCCAGGTGACCGTGGTCTCACCTTGAGTCCCAGGGAATGGGAGCAGAAAGGGCCTTCGACACTTTGTAGCCCCAGGTTCAAATGCAAATGTTTTCCAGGATCAGATGGGCAGTTTAAAGACTGAAGGGAGCCTGGTATGGGGCAGTGGGGAGGGGTGGGGCCTGTGGCATCAGGAGGGAGGGCGACGTCCCCCTTCGGGGGCAGCCCCTTCTCCACCCACTCTTGCTATTTGGGAAAGTGGAGCTCTGTTTTCAACCAGAAATCTGGATTTTTACGTGAAACCTTCAAATTTTTAAAGGTTGGGGACTACTTCAACATTTTTTTTAAGATTAGGAAAAAAAGAAAAACACCTAAAAAACCACGAAACAGTGCACGAGCTGGCCCCTATGCGAAGGCCATTGGTTTGCAACCTCTGACCTATCCCAGCCCTTCCTCCGCTCCATTTTCCTGATAGGAAGACCAAGACCCTGGAAACAGTTCCATCAACACAGTCAAGGCCCCACCTCTCGCGAGGCTCCTCACTTTCCTCTTCTGGAAAGTGGGGCTCCTCACCCTGGCTCCCCTGGTCCTGTGTCAAGGGAACAAAGCCTGATGCGCACCCGAGTGCAATGCCTGGAGCTGGACAAAGCTCCTCGTGCCAAACAAGCCGGGAGCCCTGGGGGCAGCTCACAGGGGCAGCATCTCCTCTCCCTCCTCAGGAAGTCTGCTCTCCCTGGGCCTTCAGAGGCACCCGCTTCAGCCCAGCTCCTGGCCGGCAGGTGCGCTGCAAATCCCAGACGGCCTTGCAGCTGCCTGGGGCCACCCACCTTCTTGCACACGTAGTCGTTGGGCAGGTAGACGACAGAACGGAGCCTCTTCAGCATGTCAAAGATCAACTGTCGGTCACAGCCCTGTCCCCAAGAGGAGGGGGAAAGAATGCCCGTTTAGAGGAGGGTGGGGGCTTGGGGCTCCCCAGAACCCCGGGGGCAGGGGTGCTGGGTGGGCCGTACCTGGAAGAGAGCCACTTTGCTGACGATGTTATAGTTCACGTCGATGGCGAGGTCCAAACGCATCTTGTCTGGAAGCTGCACCATCAACTCTGACTCGTCTGCAAAGGAGACACTGACAATGATCAGAGGCACATCCTGGCCTCCACCCGCCACCCCTACACAGGCACACACGGGGCCCTGGCCACACCACTCTTCTGTCCCTCCAGAGCCACGCTGTATTGCGAGAGTCCCCCGCTCCGGGCTTTTCGGATGCTATTCCCTCTGCCAGGGAACACCCTCGTGTACTTCCCTGGTTAACTTCTACCCATGCTTCAGAACCCAGGACTACTGTCACCTCCTCCAAGAAGCCTTCCCTTGAGACCCACACACCAGCTATTAGGTTCAGCAGTCTCTGTGCTGATCACACCCCGTATGGCAATGGTTTGTTCGTGCTAGTCCGCGCTTCTCACGCTCTCAGAATGTTAGCAGGGACGAGGGTATATCGAACACTGTTTTTACAGAGCGCTTTACAAAGATGGTTGTATTAAATCCTCCCAACAACCCAACAGGTGCCCACTACTATAATGCCCACTTTACGGAAAGGGAGGCTCGGGAGGGCAGGGACCTGCCCATAGCCTCACAGCCCAAGGGGAATGGAGTCGGTATCCCACCCGGGCCGTGGGGCTCCAGGGCCTGTCCCAGAATAGCAGGGGCTGAGTCTGTTTTGTCCATGATGGGGTCTGCAGTGCCCAGCAGAGAGCCTGGCATGGAATGAATGTCGGTACTAGGGACAGGAAATGCACTAACTTGACCCCCAATCCCAATGCCCCTCCCACTGCACCACAATCGTTTGTGGGCTCAAGTGTGGATCTGCACGGCCCTGGGCAGGTGGAAGCCCTCTCTGGCCCTTCATGTGTGGTTCTGTGGAAGGGGACAACGATTCGGATGTCACAGGTCTGTTCCTGGAATGGAATGAGGTGCTGGACGGGGACCATGCCTTGTACAGAGTGAGTGAGCCAGCAAAGGATACCAAGGACACCTCGACCACTCGGCTGTCCACAGTTGTGACAGCCCCCTCAGCTCAGGAGAACCTGGAGCTGAAGTGTGGCTTCTTCGAGGCCAGAGGGAACCCCTGGAAGCAGGGGGGCCCTTGAACTAGCTGAGAGCATTGAGGGGTCCTAAGACATAGTGCCAGTGGCCCCCGGCTTGTCAGGGGCCCCCGGAATGATGTCTAAGTTCTGAAAACAAAAGTACTAGCTCCCAAAGACAGAAAAAAGAGAGAGACTGGGGGGGGGGGGGAATTGTGACTTAATTAACATATAAGTAGCATATTCCCATTTCATTAAGGGTTCCATTTAGAATTCGGGAAAACGTCACTACATTTGAAAACAGCGCACAGGTAAGATTGTCCCACTTCGCAGGAATTACTGAGCGCACCCCATCATTGACAAGAAAGCAGAAACAGTGGGGAGTTAAACGCATTGTTGCGGCCAAAGAATTTCAGAAGAAAAGCATAACATCAACAAATTTACAAAAACTTTATGTGTATGGGCACGTGGGTGGCTCAGTCAGTTAAGCGTCTGCCTTCGGCTCACGTCGTGATCCCAGGGTCCTGGGATGGAGTCGCACATCGGGCTCCTTGCTCAGTGGGGAGCCTGCTTCTCCCTCTCCCTCTGCTGCTCCCCCTGCTTGTGCTCTCTCTCTCTGACAAATAAATAAATAAGATCTTTAAATATATGTGTGTCTATGGAAAGAGAAGGAGAGAGAGGGTCTTCTTTCTGTCCTGATTTCAGCTGTACTTCCATCTCTGATGGGGATGCATTTCAAGGCAGGGGAAGGGAGGGGAGGCAGGGTGTCCAGAAGACAAGGCTCTCAAGCCTTCAGGGGTCTCCTGACGGCCCAGCTTGGGGCACCGCATGGGCCTCCCTGGGTGCCCCTCACTTGAATATGTTGGGGCCACAGCCAAGAGGCCCCAGTGCTCAGGACCTCAGGGACACGGGTCAGAGGCAGGGCCCTGGGAGGAGGGGGCCAGAGGATAGCTGGTGGCAGCCGTGGGCACCTGTCTTACCCAGCATGCCTTGGGACTGCCAGGTGTACTCGTACCAGGTCTTGACCCGGTTCTGCACGGACCTGGGGATCTTGTAGAAGTTCATGTACTTCACGGTGCTGTCCATGCAGCTGCGGTAGTAGGTCTGCCCAGCTGTGGCGGCCCCCACCACGTCTCTCATCTAGGCGCAAGGAGGAAGCGTCAAAGGGCAGAGTGGGGCTTTGGGGGGTGGGGTGTCACAAGCACATGGACTCTATTCAGACCGGAGGTGTGCGAGAAGGGGGATCAGGAGAGAGGGAGACCCATGTCCACACACAGAGAAGGTTGCCGATGGGAGAAATTCTGCCCCCAGAGTGGACACGGGACGGGAGGAGTGAGGCTGCTGAGTGCAGCCACCCGCTAGGAGGAAATGCCTCGCTGGGCTGGGCTGAGTCTGGTACGACCTGGCCCCTCAGTGCCAGAGGTCACTTTGACATCACTGCAGGAAATGTGAACCCGGTGTACTGCTCCTCAGGGCAGGACCCAATTCTGAGGCCCCCTGACCGTGGCCTCATGCACTGATTAAAATAGGAGACGCACCCCTGCACATTAGACATCCCCAGGGGTTTCTCTCCGAGGGAACAGCCCAAATCCCCAGCCTTTGCAGAAAGCCATTCAGCCCAGCTCTCCAAAGACATCCCAAAGGGACCAACCTTTCCAGTGGAAGCAACCGTAGAGAAGAATGGGACCTAGACCTCCACCCCTATCCCCTTCACCCAGCAGGTCCCAGAGCTCCAGGCTCCTGAGTCCAGGTCCCGTGGTGTTTCCTGGACTTAGTCCAAAACGAATGGCCACAGATGATGACATTTCTGGCAGCAGTGGGAGGGAGGGGGTCCTGCAGGCCGGTGGGTGGCAAGTCAGACTAGTGACCCAGCTACCTGTCCGATCATCACAGAGAACGCGAAGACACCCGTGAAATAGTTCAGCCCCTGGAAGATGATTTCAAAGACCGTTCTGGGGTCAGGCAGCCCACCAATGGTGATGAGGGTCTTCACAGCCCAGTAGTAACAGCGAATGTAACTGGAGAGGGAATAGGAAAGAGACCTCAGTCAGCAAAGCCCCCCCCCCCCCCGGTGAGCCTGGGTGGCCCGCTCTAACAGATGTGCAATATGCACATCTGTTTCTACGTGCAAGGAAAACAGCCTCCCACCCACAGAGCATGCGGTCTGCAGACTGTATTCACAGATGCAGAGACATGTTGTCACCTCCCTTTACAGATGTGGAAATCAAGCCTCCAGGAGATTGCTAGAAAGACTTGGCAGGAGGGAAGACCAGGGTCTTCTGACTTCTGATGTCTGGGCTCCCTCAATATTCTTTCAATTTCCACTAACTTCCCTTTGTCATCCCACCATGTTGGTTCATGGGAAGCAAGAGTGACATTGAACTTGGAAGACATCTCGAGGACTACGTTTTCTGACCCTCTCCCTTGCCCATCCCTTTCCCAGACAGGGAAACTGAGGCCCCAGAAGGCAAAGGAAGCACTCATGGTCACCAGTAGGCCAGGTCCAGAGCTGGGATTAGAATTCAGTCTGTCATCTGCTTCTCTGAGTTGTCACCCACAGTTGGTAATGTCGCTCCATGGACGCAGGAACCAGGGAAGGGAGGTATGGGCACAGGAGATGCCCCGAGCTCATCTCATTATCACAGAGAAGTAAGAGTCCCTCATACATCTGTTCACACCTTGAGGCTGGGCCCTCCCAGGGGTCAGCAATGAGTGACGTCACCAGGGCTCAACGACAGGACAATCCCAGCTGGCTTTCCTGTGCCTTCCTGTCTTCCTACCTGGGCACGCAGGAGGCGTCCAGAGCCTGCGCTGGCCCCAGTGTCCTGATACACCCGCACTTCTGAGGTCCTTGCTCAGCTCCAAAATCAAGACCATCATCCGGCTGGCAAATCATCTAGTCTGGGGACGACCCCAAACGGGTCCTCGCCTGGGCTCTGTTCACCGCTATTTATGCAGAGTCATAGTTAGAACATGGGCTCTAGATGGGACTGCCTGGGCTCACACTCAGCTCTGCCACTTATTCACCACCTAACGTGGACAAATTACTAATCTCAGCAAGCCTCGGCTTCTTTCTCCTAAAATGGCCACGGCAGTAGCACATCCTTCGTGGGGGATCGTGAGGACAAAATGAGGTCCTAGAAGAACGCCTGGGACATGACGGGCTCTCAGTCAATGTCAGCCACCACCTTCTCTGTCGCTGGTACCTGCCACATGTCTGCAGTTAGGGAACATCAGACTCACCTGTGTCCTCAAGAAGCTCACCATCTAGTGGGGACAGGCAAGAAATCGTGCAGAGAGCACTGGGAGGGGGAGGCAGAGGTTGTTGGGGCTCTGCCTCTGACTACTAGCTGGGGGGCCTGGGGCTGGGCGCTGGACCACCCTGCACCTCATTCCCACCTAGTGCATAGAAACAGGACAACATGGGCCTCCCCCATAAAGACCCCCATCATGCTGTTCCTGGCCACCAGAGGGCGTGCAAAGCAGCCCTAAGCAGGGACTGAGCTGAGCGCTGTCTGGGAGCAGAGTGGGTGCTCCTGGACCCCCAACAGAAAGGGGACAGGAACAATGTCCCCAAACCTTCCCCCAAACTCTTTCTGATTGGAGATATTCTATTAGCATGGCACGTCTTAGGGGTCTCCCTGAAGTCCTCGTGTCTTCCATGCTACTGGGCCTGTGGGGGACCCCTGCATGCTCCAGGCCAGGCAGAAGCAGAACAGGATGAGGGACCCAGATATGTGGGAACTTGGGTCCTCAAGCCCCTGGGCCAGAGCAGACACTCAACAAATGGTCTCTATTTTGAAAGTGATTATTACCCGTGATACTGGACTTCTGGATGGATCCTTCACTCTTTGTGCTTTTTTGCACATATTGGGGGTTCCCTGTAGGATTTTCATCTGGAGAAGAATAAGACTGCTAAGACAGCGTCCCCCTTCCAAGTCGCTGCAGAAGGAAGTCCCTGTCCTCCCCTTCCCTGCTTGCCCTTCCACCGCAGGCCTGCCCGTGATGGGTGTGCCAGGCCCAGTCCTGGGACCAGGGTTCTCAGCTTGTTGGGGCACAAACCTCTTTGAGAATCTAAGGAAAGCTAGAAACCTTCTCCTTAGGGAAGCCAGCATGTCCTCAAAATTTAGCTCCAATTTCCAGGAGGGTGGTGGTGGGACCCCCGTCCATCTCTGGATCCCGGCTTAGGAACCCCTCTCCTGGTACGCTGGCTTCCCCATAAGAATGACCATAGCTAGGAAATGGTCACTGACTCCTGTCCACATGCTACATACATGAGTTTCTCATTCCTTGCAAGAAATCTGAATGTAATACTATGCTCAGGTTGTAGAGGAGAAACTAAGTCTCAGAAAGGGGAAGGGCCTCAGCCAAGGTCACAGAGCAAGTTCTTCCCTTCCCAGGACTCCTGTCCCTTAAGCCTATGCCCTGGCTCTCCAGGCTCACACCCCTGACCTGGACCCCAGGTGCTTCTGCTGCCCTTCCCGCACTGCCCTCCCTCCCCCTGACCACACCAACCCTTTGTCTGTTGTTCCCC